TGATGACCAACCGGCGTGGGTTTTGCAAAGAGATTATCGTGAAGAAGAAGAAGCGGCCTGCTGATGTACACCGCGGTACCTACGCTGTTGCCGAGTCAACATTAGTGCCGAGTATGAAAGCAGTGTGTTGGTATGTGCGGGTGGAAGTACTGAGCAAGATCGCGTAGTTCGACGAGCGAAGTCTGGCGAGCAAGTCGAGGTGGCATGTCCAAGAGTGCTGAAACATTACCAAACTTTCATGGGCGGAGTTGATGTACACGATCAACTTCGCCTCCAAAGGTGAGTACATTTCTGCTGTATGTACAAGATAGTGTTGATGCTAACCCTGTATAATTCATGTTGTATCAGGTACTCTCTTCAATTGGCTCTAAAGTATAAGAAATACTACAAGTCGCTTTTTCTGGGCTTCATCGACCTGGCAACAGTCAATGCTTTTATTGTGTACAATCGACGGCGTGCTATTGATGGAAAACCCAAGCTCAGCCATGTCAAGTTCCTGAAGCAACTACATTTGGAGCTGACGCAGTTGCAGGAGACGGATTGGGATGCTCTCCGCGCGGTGGAGCGTACCCCGAAGAAGTCACGCGCTCCGCCATTGCAGCGAACCCACGTACCGGTGCAGGTGGATGAGTGGAGGGATGGAAACAACGAGAAAGGTCGAAAGCGACATCAACGAGCATGCAAAGTATGCTCGGTGCTTAAGGGCTCCGACGAGTCGCGAGGGGGCGATACTACATTCTACTGTAGCACCTGCAAGCTACACACAAGCTCAAAGCAGCCACTGGCGTCGTGTGTGTACCTGTGCAACAAGGTCAAGCATGTAAACAACGGTGAGTCCGTTTCGTGCTTCGAGATTTGGCACAAGCATTGGTGTAACGGCAGCCTGTTGCCGCCGTCACAGAGAAAGCGAAAGATCCGCGTGCACAGGCCAGCAGCCGATAGTGTCGAAGAAGCAAAGTCTGCGAGTGGTGACAGCGGGGATGATGACACCAGTAGGCCGTCAAAGAGACGTCACAACGACGCTGCGACACCATAAGCAGATGATTTTGCGATCTTAAATGTCTTGATAAAAGTATGAAATCTGTATCTCCCTTTTTACCTGAACTTGAAGTCTATATTTAGGAGAAAAGTGCGCTGGGCTGTGAGCAGTTTTTGTACGTTCCTGGACACGATATCTTGGTATAGTGTATTTCAAAGTCAAATATTCTTGTAGGATACACGATATCAAATTTTCACCATCCTAGGTGTTGGGGTTCAATGCGTTTAACCATCCTACAGGATTAATTTTATACCAGTCTAACTATTAAAACCCTTCCCCGACATACACGTTAACGTCGAAAGGGTTTCGGTAAATGGGTGCACTGGAAAACCTTCGCGTTCAAGGGGTTAATTGGTATTGAGTTTTGGTTTAAAACCTGGTGTTTCAATATCCGTAAAATAATAATGGAATATATAAGTTCCTGTCAGAAGACTGTCTTAGAGGGGTTAATGTCGGGTACGGAAGCAATCACTCAAATGACAAGAGCAATAAAGGTGTAATGAACTCACATAGCATTTAAAATCGTAAATGACGACTACTACAAAACCTGGTATTTAGTGACAAGAACAATGATCGTACAAAAGGCGTCATGAACTCACAAAGCATTCAAAGTCGTAAATGACGACTACTACAAAGCATTCATTGGACTGGTATCGCACGGAGCGGTAAATGTCTCGACACATCGGACGAGTGTAATGGATGGCGTTCTTCTGACTTGGAAAGGATGACCATCATTCCTAGTTTACGCGCGCAGGTGGCGGTAAGTGCTGGGCTTCGTGGACGTCTGAGTAGCCATCTGAGAAGCTTGGTTAGCTGTCTTCTCTGGGGCTAACGAAGAGATGGCACTCGTTCCCTTCGAGTAGCTGTCCGTGTTGGTGCCCTTCTTCACACTTGTGCCGGCACCAGTATTCAAACTAGCACCAGCGTTGAGACCGGCACCAGCACTGAGGCCGGCATTAGCGTTGAGGCTGGGACCAGCGTTGAGTCCGTCATTTGCTTTCAATCCTGCATTGGCGTTAAGACCCGCACCGGCGTTGAGGCCAGCACCAACGTTGAGACCGGCACCAGCATTGAGACCAGCACCAACCTTGAGACCGGCACCAGCATTGAGGCCGGCACCAGCGTTGTGTCCGGCGCTCGCTTTCAATCCTGCATTGGCGTTAAACCTCGCACCGGTATTGAGACCAGCACCAACGTTGAGACCGGCACCAGCATTGAGACCTGCACCAACCTTGAGACCGGCACCAGCATTGAGGCCGGCACCAGCGTTGAGTCCGGCACCAGCGTTGAGTCCGGCACCAGCGTTGAGTCCGGCGTTCGCTTTCAATCCTGCATTGGCGTTAAGACCCACACCAGCGCTGAGGCCAGCACCAACGTTGAGACCGGCACCAGGATTGAGGCCGGCACCAGCGTTGAGTCCGGCACCAGCGTTGAGTCCGGCACCAGCGCTGAGTCCGGCGTTCGCTTTCAATCCTGCATTGGCGTTAAGACCCGTACCGGCGGTGAGGCTAGCACCAACGTTTAGTCCGGCACCAACCTTGAGACCGGCACCAGCGTTGAGTCCGGCATTTGCTTTCAATCTGCATTGGCGTTA